ACTGACAGTTCCAACTGTCTCGCCGGGGGAGGGGGGAGTTTGAGGTGCGGAATGGAGTGAAGTCCAATCAGCTTCCATATGCAAAGGACCTTGAAACGCTGGCCCAATCAGAGAAGAGTGGCCTAGGCTGCAGTGGGTGGGAGAGAACTCAGGCTGGTGGCCTGACTTGCCTCCCCCTCCACATGCACCAGGAACACCCCCACCCGAAGACATAGGCACAGGCAGCTCGGCCACCGCTCTGTCCTGGGGTTTCCCGTGCAATTCATCCCCTTACCTGGGTCCCCTTGTGTCTACTGGCGACTCTTCAGGGCTTCTCCGACTGGGCCACTGAAGCAGCCCAGCCGTAGAAGCCCCGTCCCTGTGCTCAGTCTGCAGATGGTCCTCTCCTGTCAGAGGCCCAGAGCAGATTGAGCCGAAGATGCTGGTCAGGTCTGACGTGGGCAGTACTACACAAAGCAGCCAGCCAACCCAGCCAGTGTCTTCTGACTGACAGTTCTTGCGCCCAAACACTGTAAGTGTGCATTGGAACGTTGGACCCCACTACGGCTTTATATAAGGGGAGAGATGACGGGACTAACACCTCTGGAATTATTGTCATTATTTAAGACTCTATGAACTCTGAATCCCAATCCAAATATTTTGAGAAACTTTACATTTTGTTGCTTAGATTCTGTCTACCTTCCTGATTTTTCCAGTTTTCTGCACATGAGGGTTCATCAACAATTCTTTGAATGAAATGGGATCATCAGAAGCAGCTGATTTATCCATCAATAATGAAGCAAATTATTGTGTGACTATGGATTTATTCATTGCTTCAGTATACCAATAAACCGCAAAACTACCTAGAACTTCTAAAATGCAGGTCTGTGGCAGGAAATGGTTCTTTAACTTACACCTCTGATGGCAAGGCAATTTTCAGGACTACAGCTGTATAGATAGTCTGCCGAGAGAGGCAGTAAAATTTTTCATAAAGGCCTTTTTATCACCCTTACAGTCACAATTAATTATTAATTGAAAACCTGGTTTCCAGTGGCTTTGCCCATCATTTATTTTACATTGTAAGCAGCTGAAATATTAAAGAAGACAAATTTTGAATACGTGGGTTTGACACAGCAGATAAAATGCACTGTGGTGGTTGACAAATCCATTACTGAGTGAAATTACATTCTAAATTGCTCTTTTTTTGTAAACTGATGATGCAAAATTACTAGGAAAAAATTGTACATGGATTTTAGATCAAGTAAATTTGTTTGTATTAATCTTTCACATTATAGCTCACAAGCTAGATTGATGCATACATAGAACTGATTTTGTCATTCATTGCAACAGGGAAGGCTGTGCAAACACATTCAAATTCATGCAGGAGAAACTGCCTACTTCTACTAAGTGAATATTGAGCACCCATGGGTGGAGGAACCTTCATTTATATACCACCTTTGTCCTCAATGGAGACCCGAAGCAACTTGCAGCATTTTGTTCTCTTCCACTTTATCTTCAAGACCCTATGAGGTGGGTTATGCTGGGAGTGTGTAACTGGCCCACGGTCACCTAGCAAGTTTCTATGACAGAATGAGGATTCAAATCTATGTGTCCCAGATCCTACTACAACACTCTAACCACTACACTACACTGACTCTTTGTGTATGCACTGAAGCTCCCATATCCGCAAGCCATCTCAGAATTATGTTGCAGGTATGGTTGTCAAAGCATCAACAATGGTGAAAATCTTGAATAAACATACAAACAAAACCAGGGTCTTAAAAGTACTACCTATTCTTCTAAATTCATTTGGTGAATGCTTATAACCACTATGAACCCAGTATTTGGTCTTGTGGTTCTTTATTATACAAGGACGTACAAATGTGATACAGATTACATAAAATTTAGATGCACAAGAAGGCTATTTCAATGTATTTTTCATATAAAATACTGGGAAGAGAGAAAAAGAGAGGTATGAGACTGCTTTTCTGCATGAAGCTGTTATAATGCCTTGTCTCCCCTTAGTACAATACATTTTGAGTACAATACTTGGTTTTCTGGTATTTGGGAGGCAGTTCTGCACAAGAGCCACTGAATTCTGAGATGTAAATTCATAATGTAAGTCTCACTGATTTCTGTGGGATTTGCATAGCCTAGCATTTCTCTGGATTGAGTGTAATCTGCATAATTTATTCCAGTTTTACTGCTTGGATTTTACAGCAACCAACTTCAGAATTTTAAAAATGTCATGGAATCCCTGTATATAACTTAGCCTCTTAGACAAACAATAATTGATTTTTCAGTCACTCAGAGTGACTCGATAATAAGTGACCTGATAATGCCAAAATATTATTTTAAAATACGGTTACATCAGTAATTTGATGCCACATCAGTTGCCCTGGATGGAATATTGGCTATCTCTCCCTTATAATAATTGAATAGTGGGCACCAACGTTCTAAAATTGGCCCCTTTAGTGTTAGGCCGGAAGAACTGCCACTCAGAAGACACTGGCTGGGTTGACTGGCTGCTTTGTGCAGTCCCGCCCAGTGTTCCAAGGTCATTTGCATATGGAAGCTGATTGGACTTCACTCCATTCCACACCTCAAACTCCCCCCCCCGCAAGGCAGTTGGAATTTTCAGTTGCATAACATACCTCATAGGGGAGAGGAGAATGATGTCAGCTGCTTTGGTTACCACTGCAGGGAAAGACTGCCCTTTCCCTATCTTTTGCATATGGAAGCTGATTGGACTTCACTCCATTCCACACCTCATACTCCCCCCCGCAAGGCAGTTGGAATGTCTGGTGGTGTGTAGGTCCCAGGATCATGTTTTAAAAGCTGCCTGGGGAGATGGGGACCTCAGACAGGTTACAGTGCCATAGACTCCACCCTCCAACCCAGCTATTTGCTCCTGGGGAACTATTGTTGCCAATCTTGGCCCAGCAGCCATCAAACCATTCTCTTCAACCCCCTGCTGTGCAGCTGACTTTCCCCTAGGGTTGCCAATCTCCAGGTGGGACCTGGAGATCTCCCACTGTTACAATTGATCTCCAGATGACAGAGATCAGTTCCCCTGGAGAAAATGGATGCTTTGGAGGGTAGACCCTATGACATTATACCTGCTGAGTCCTTCCGCCCCCCCCCCGCCCAATGTTGCCCTCTACAGAATCCACCCCCCAAACCTCCAGGTATTTCCCTCCTTAGAGCTGGCAACCCTACATTCCCCTCAGTGCCTGTTGGTAGGCAACTAAGCTTGGTCCTGTCACCTACTTTGGCCTTTGGGAGAAAACACATTGGGGCCAGTCCTGATAGGGTTGCCAACTCCAGATGGGAAATTCCTGGAGATTTGAGGGATGGAGCCTGAAGAGGGTGAGGTTTGAGGAGGGGTGGGACCTCAGACAGGTACACTGCCATAGACTCCACCCTCCAAACCAGTCAGTCCCACATAGGGAACCATTGTTGCCAATCTCCAGGTGAGGGCTGGAGAGCACTCAGAATTACAACTGCTCTGCAGAAGGGAGGGCAGAAGTCAGATGAAGTCAAAGGGGCAGATAATGGTAGGTTGATGGTTAGCTGGGAAGGAGATGGGGTTGCCAACTACATGCTGACAAATTCCTGGGGATCTGAGGGGTGGAGCCTGGAGAGGGTGGGGTTTGCAGAGGGGTGGGACCTCAGACAGGTAGAATGCCATAGACTACACCCTCCAAACCAGCCACTTTGTCCTGGGCAACAATTGCTGCCAATCTCCAGGTGAGGGCTACAGATCACTCACAATTACAACTGCTCTTCAGGTAGCAGAGATCAGTTCCTCTGGAGAAAACAGTGGACTCTCATTATATCCTGCTGAGGTCACCACAGCAAATTGACATTGTTTGCCCAAAGCCAGAGCACTGCCCCAGAGCCTCTTTCTAGATCCCGTTGTATTGCTTTCACAACGGGCTTTACTGCTAGTTCCTATAATAAAGGAATATGGTACTTGAAAGCCTAAAATTAACATAGCCACCACTGTTTGTTTTAATACATGGTTATTCATTCTCAGGATTATGTTTGAACCACTGAACTATTACAACATTTTGCTTGTTTCTATCCATGTTTCTAAGGGCATAATATGATATTGGATCCTAGAAACCAGTTAAAGAGAAATTAAAATCAGATTTAAGGATCCCATATGTTTTCAATGGCACAAATGCCTTTTCATCCACTATTCCTGTGTTAGGTTTATCTTTTAATTATTGGGTTTTGATAATAATTCCTGGTTTGCAAAGCCCTACTGTCTCCTGCTCCATTCTTCTTGATTCCCAGTCCTGCCTACCAGCATGCCATAGAGATCTTATGTTACTTTCCCCTACAGGCTTTCACCTGGTTCTGATCTTCTTGTCTTGCCTTTCACCTTCTGTCTGTTCAGTAATCAATCCAATGCATATGTACTCCAAAATAAAGTCTGAATCCACGAAGGCACTGGTCCTGCTAATCACCAGCTCTGCATTCATCCCAAGCTGTGAACAGTGCTTGTTTCTACACAGTCATTGTTCATGGCTTTGGATGAAGATGTGGGAGGCTGGGAGTAAGACCAAAGATGCTGTCTCAACACCTACATTTTCCAGGATTCTTCAAGGAAAGCTGTAACAGTTAAACTCATACAGAATGGATAGGTGCTCAGTTTCTCACTCTTGTTGGACAGCTCTGCTGTCTGTGCAGGAGTCTCTAATGCATTCTCACCCATAACTATGTTTCCTCTACATTTCCATTTACATCTCCACAGCCCAACAAATACCTGATCTCAACATTTCTGTAAAAGAGTGGAAGAGTTAATTGTACCAAACAGTGTAAGATTTTCTCACTTCCAAACTGAACTTTAGAGAATCCTTTAATATCATGAAATGTCAGCACAAACTATATCTAGTTGCAATTGAATCAAGCATATTGTATATGGTAGGGACACATGAACTTTTCATTCTTCACTCCACTGTTACTTACCATCAGTCCCTTTCTTCCTACTTCACTTACAAGTGCTTTTGAAATCCAGAAGGGACACGGAGGAAGACCTGAATGTTTCTTAAAGAATTAGTTTTCACCAGTAAGTTTGATCTTAGCAAACAATGAGCTATACTTTAGCAAAGTATGGGCCACATTCACACAAAATTAGTCTGAGGGACATCAGAAGTCAATGAGCTGTTAAACACGTTACATAATAATTCCATCCATTTTTCTCTCTTATGATATAATTGCCTTCTCCATGGTTTCTTTTTCCTGATAGAAATACAACGTGCCTGAAGATGAGTTTGGTCTTGTAGGTGGCCGTGAGATACTTCTGCTACTTAATCTGTCTGGGTGTTCTGGAAGATTCTGCCACCCTGGACTTGTCTGTTGTTGAGACATTTGCCAGGCAGGGCATGATGGAGGAATGAAATTTAAAGAGGATTTGGAAAGATAGGTCCCTTGGAGGCCTTCCCCTGGCAAGCATTTGTTGGAAAGTACTTCTTTTTCTTTGGAGTTTCGCCATTTCATCCTTCGATTTTGAAACCATATTTTGACCTGTCATGGGTTAATGAAACACTATTATTGTTAACTGCTCAAGCTAAGTTATCTTTAATTCTCTTCAATTATACATTCCTCTGTCTTAGCTGAGGTAAAAGGTATCTTACATTTGGCGGTAAATCAATTTACGTGGTTAGTAATATCCAGCCATACTACTGCTCAGACATGAAAGATGACAGCTGGTAAGGTCGTAGGGACTTTTTGTAGTACTGAACTCCCAAGAGCCACTTGACCCCGTATAGCTATTAATGGCAGAAGCACAGTGAATGAACAACTATGATGAGATTCAGATGGAGATTTAAGGAGGTGATGGAGAAGAAGTTGACCCTTTCATTCTTTAAGGTTACTATGGTAGGCATTATAAGTACTTATATTCCTGTCCTGCATACACATGCTGGTTTCATACACAGAGGCCTTAACATGGCCCTCTCTGCTGAAAGCTGAAGAGGTACTGTGATCAGAAGACCTGGTTACGCAGCCATACTGTTAGTGACAGCTTCCTTGCCCACTGAGAATGGGTATGCCCAGAAGCTGCAATTTTGTGTGTTATCTTTTAACCCACATTTGGCATCTGTGTTGAATGATACAAAGGATTATTTATTGGCTACTGTGTGCGACCACTATGTGCAGATCTTTAATTTCTGAGATATGGAACTATTACCATGCAATGGTCCTATATTTCTCCCATGGGTTTCATACAAACACAGCTACTCATCTTGAACCATGACAAAAAACTAAAGTTCTTCTGGTTGTGGTTAAAGTGCCATGGACTGCATTAAGAATTTTTTTCATATGTCCCTGTCATGCTGATCTCTTTCTACCAATTCTTTAAATATTAATACTATGATTACCACGTGCATCTGTACCTGTGATTCCTTTAGGCCCAGACTGAGAGCCAGTTTCTTCCTATCTGTTTTGCTGATGTATTTCTGTTTCTGAAACATTTTCTCCAAAGCTTTTCTCTGTTCTTCAGAAAAGACAGCCCTTCTTAAAATTCCTCTTCGGGACCTTGAATCCTGGGTTAGAAAAGGCAGAACATTTTCCTGTCCTAGAGCAAAAGAAAGATTGTAACATTCCACCAGTCTTAACCTGTTTAGCCAAGTTAAAAACAACAACAACTGTATACATCTTGGCAAGTCCAACCATTGACTGCTCTGTAACACTACGCAAATGTTGGTGAAACACAAGAATCCATCAGCATCACTCATGAAGAGTTTGGAGGCAGTCTAATGCACACTAGTTCAATATCCAATGGTTATATAACTGTCTATAAGTACCAAATCCCATGTTCATATTCTCAGATGCCAACTGGACTAGCATTCCTGGAGAAACAGGCACACAGCCTTCCCATCTACTGGGTACCTAAAATGATGTGTGATGCAGACAGTCTCCTCAAAGATCCATACACAGACTGGGCCAATTTCTGCAGTTTCCTATTTTTAAATTTTATTTCAGGGGCAAGAATTGTGCTAAACAGATCATCCTCAACAGAGTTACACCCTTCTAAAACCATGGAAATCAATGGGTGTAGATGGGTATGACTCTGTTTACAATGGCTCTGTTGGTGATTGAACCGGGCCACAGTTTTTTGATGGAGGAAAAGATACCCATCATGCACTTCGATCAATTTAAAATTACTCCACTAAAAGGGAAAACTGAATTGTTTTAAGAAAGAAGACATAACCAATTATGTTAGAGTTTGAGAAATGAGCCCCACTAACATATAAGTTTAAAAACTAGTCCAGCATTTTTGGTCTGATCAGGACAGTGAAATTCCTCCCTCCCCATCTGATCCACTTTAAGTAGAATAAGCTTACAGACAGGGCACAATGGTTATGTCAAGATGAATGAACTACAGCAAGCTTGCAGTCCATCCAGCTGAACTGCCACACTTGAAGGCTGTAATGCCATGTGGACACAAACACTAATATGGCACCAAATACTTTCTGGAGGGGGGGGAAGCGCCTTCCCTTCCTGTTCTAGTATATGGTGATAAATGTTGCCTTAATCTGTGGAACAATCTTCATTTGCCTTTGTGGCAGAGACCACCTTGAAGGGGCGAGGAAAGGCTTTCGTCATGGGTTCAATTTTTCCATGCCATTCCATACACTCTAGTTAAATGGACAATTAATAGGTCATTTCCAAAATAGTAGTGTATCAGTCCTTGTTAATAAACAATTGCTGCAGTCGATAATGGTCCCAGTGTATTCAGCCCATCCCTGTATGCGCTCAGCTCAACTCACTAAATCCCTTTTCAGGTAGACAGGGTTATATGGGAAGATGAGCTAGAATGAGTCTATAAAAGTCAGTTTCATTCGCTGCTTTATTTTTCAGTCAAATGCTTTAAATGGTGTCCAAAAAATCCTTACGGAATGTGAGACAGGAGAAAAGCCGGCTGCACTGAGCACTGCTTTATGAGCACACAAAAGGGCAACTGACCTTTGGCCAGACCTTTTCAGCCCAAAATGGTTCCTAAAGTTCATCTGCACAGTGAAAAATTGTGGTGAGGTCGCGTGTGGATGAGTAAAGAGAAAGTGGCAATTGGTCATGGCTCTGTCACCCATTGTGAGATTGCTAGGCCCATGTGAAACGCTCTGTGGGAAAGTGTCAGCCCCCTAAAGAGGGGCTCAGAAACTTGCAGCTCATTAAACTGCCAGCATTTGCTGCCTCACTTGTCAAGAATCATTCGACTTAGCAACTGGCCTCTTGAAACATTCATATAAAGAACCCCCCCCCCAACCGCCCAACTCCAGCCACAGTAACAGCAGCCACTGAAAGTTCTGTTGCGAGTTAATACTTGGGCCATGATTCGTTCCAATAAAGTTTATTCAGACTTCGCTCTGTTCCTTTATAACCTTTCAAGGACGTCAAAGCAGTTTCTCTGTTACTGCGATGCCAAATCTACATCCTCAGGACAATCCTCACTATCACGTCAAAGGGATTTCTTTGATATGAGAACTGTAATGTTTGAACTCCTAATGCTCTGTTCTAAAATGGATACCCTGGAAGTGAATTATACCACCATCAGGCATAGCTAGAAAATATATTTCAGATGGGGAGTTAGCTTTGCTTCTAAGAAAAGAGTGTTTATGGTTTTGCTGCCTTGAACCTAGGACCAGTCTGTACATATCTTTCTGACATTTTGCAGTCCTCACACAGGGCTGCATTAACTTTCATATGACGAACAGTTATCTAAAACTGACCCCATATGGAAGTCATCAAAACTACCTTGCAAGAGAAACGCATGAAAAGAAGATACAACTTCTACAGTTATCACAGTGGGACAATTTTAGACAGACATACACCACACACTGGTATGGGTGGTCTGTGTGTGGTGATAGTACAGAAAGGAACATACAACACAATGTGAAATGTGACTGATAATATTATGCATAACATTTGTTTAGGGACAGGCTACATGTTTGAGTATCAGTAACCTGTTGAGTTGAATTATCTCTGACTTTATATAAAGCAGGGGGTTGGGAAGGTGCTACAACAACAGCATAAGAGCTGAACCCTCCTCCCGTCCAGGTTTTCTCCTCCGAAACTGATTTCTGTTGCTTTTCTCTTACTCGGGTTAGGGTTGCCAACAGGCCTGGATAAAACTATCCTTTCCCTTATGGGGATAATTTATCATGGGATAGGTTGGGGTATAAATTAGATAAATAAACAATATTAATATCCTTTCCTTTTAATAGAAGCTTAAGAGGATGTAATTTACTTCCATGCCATCAAAAACCTCAACTGCTCATTTCCTCACATTAAAGGTTTACCTTGCTCGAAAGCCATTCACATCCGACTCTAGGGAGCGGGGCTCATCTCCATTTCCAAGCCAAAAAAAGCCAACGCTGTCCGAAAACATTTCCGTGGTCATGTGGCCAGCATGACTAAATGCCAAGGTGTACGGAATGCTGTTACCTTCCCACTGAAGCGGTACCTATTTATCTACTTGCAATTTCTTGCTTTTGAGCTGCTAGGTTGGCAGGAGCTGGGGCCAGAGACCGGAGCTCACTCTGTCACGTGCCATTAGGGTTTTGAACCTTCCGGCCTGCAGCTCAGTGTCTTAACCTCTGAGCCCAGCCACTGCGGACCCTTCCTCACATTAGGCCTCTATTAAAGAAACATTACCTTTTTCTCCAAGCCTGTTGACAACTGTTACCCAGGCTTTAAGGCTGGTAATGATCCCTTCTAGGAGGGAGAAAGATACAGTGCAGAGAGAAGGGGTTTTGAGGAAAAAACATAATTGGGGTAGAGTTTAACTGTCCCTCCTACCTCCCCATGGGCCACTTGAAATTGCTTCCTGGCATGCTATTTTCTATAGATTTGGCATGAACCAACTCAGACTGTGTCACCGTGCTGTTATTTTTCAAACTTAGATAAAACTAAACTCTGTTTGAATAGACCCATAATGACACACACACACACAACAGCTGTAACAAAGACATAAAAGTGAGCTGTGTGGAAGTTAAGCATTTTCAGTTGTACTAATTTCAATGGGGTTAATTAAGAACATGCATAATTTCCCCTTTGAAATGAAAGCATGATTCCCCCACTGAAATCTATTGAACAATAAATGTGGTCATCCTTGGCTATATCGTACTGCAAAAATTTAAAACACAGACAATATATATTTTCAAATATATTTCCCCTAAATCGTTTCCCCTAAATCGTACTTTATTCCTGGCAAGTGGTGTTTTGTTTTGTTTAACTCCCATTTTCATAAGACCTCTGATTAAATTCTTGAATACAAACTATGGATTTGAGAAGCCTTCCTTGGCTGGCAGTTTTTACTCGGTGGTGTTTGAAATCTCTCACAATCATGCCACATACTTAAGTCTGATAAATCTTTGAAAAAACACTTCCTGAATGGTGTGGCTGTGATCCCCCCCCCCCCGCGAGGCATTAGCTCCTTACCATTGCATCCCCAATTAGTCTCCCCCCCCCCAGAGCACATTAAATCCTGCTGCTTTGGTTTACAGGATAACTCAAGCATTACTGATGAAGCATAAAAACTTACTCGGAAAAGCAGTGGGGGAGGCAGGGTGTTGACAGGACCCACCACAGCATGCAGAATAGACCAGCGGGGACCAGAGGAAAAAGTGCTTCGGGAGAGCTGCAAACAGAGCATGGAGTCCATTGAACGGTTTGCTCTCTAGAGGTACCATAGAAATCCGTTAAGGGCATTAAGCATTTTTAAGGAAAGCAGAGTCTGTCTGTTTGGGATCCTGCACTTTTTCTAAAATAAAAATACTGGTAAAATATGAGTCAAACTTTATATCATTGATGACTTAAGCAATAGCAAACTGAATCATGATGGCATGCTTATTTAAAGAGTATTAATTTAACAACTGTATACTGTTTGAGTTGAGGACTATGGGGAAATAGTAAGCTTCCAATAAATTATGTTCTGGAACACAGGCTTACATCATCCTAAATTTCAAATTGAAATGTAAAGGATTTTATGGCAAAGTTGACTAATTGACAGTTTCCACAAGGGAAAGGATACAGGACTGCTTTCTTAAGGTGAATTTGCAGGTCTTAACCTCTAAAATATCAACATTACCTCTAAAACGTCAACAAATAAACCAACAGATTTAAGTACCCTATCCAACCATATATTAAAACCTCTTTTCAGAGCCATTGGGTGCATTTGAAACCTAATAATTTACAGGAAAGCTACTGGTGCTCTATCTCTCACACATACCCGAATGTTTTAGCCCACTCTTCTGCCAAAGGGCTCAGGGTAGTTCTAAGTACATTTACCTGGAAAAGGGCAGATGCTGATGAAACAATTATTTTAATTAAACCATTTGTGCACCACTACTCACCATGTGGTTGTTATTCTCTTTTGGGAAGCTTTTCACAAGATTGCATAGAGATCTGCAGAATGCAAAGAGCTTCCTGCCAAGAAACTGAAATGGCCTCAGCTCATTTGTTCTCTGTGTTTAGGGATCTCTATGATTTTCATTTCTTCTTGGTTCCAAAGAAGTATGCCAAACTAGGATTGGGACACCAAACCTATGGGGTTGCACATATGTGCACAGTTAAGATTGCCAGCAAGAATACGTCTTGTCCCTGTAATGGAGGTCTAACGGGCAGATGATTTTTTTTCATGGCATGAAGGTAAATATTATCACCTGGTAAATAAGATCCCATTAACCATCTATTAAAGGAACAGGGCATTTTTTCTCTCCAAGCAGTTGGCAATTTCTGGCTTTTCCCAAAGAATATATCCTTTGCATAATAGTTTCCAAAGCCGTTTGAGATAGAAGACTTCTGTCCAGAAAAAAATCAGAAGTGTCTGATCTGAATGGCAGATTTAATTTCAAAAATCCTTCCTTTGCATGAAAATTAGAAGCGCCTTTATCAACATGATGATTATAGTGAAATTAGGCTTGCTGCATTGGCAGTAATTTCTAAAATCCCTTTAATTGCTTTTGAAAGCCAAACTTCCGTAGGAGGAATAACGTTTCTTTCTAGATTAGCCTTTACCCTCTGAAATGCTTTGGATTTTTTTCAATTAAATGTTTTTAAATCCAGGAAGCCTGGTTTAATTAATGCGCTTCATGGACTGTGGGCAAAAAAAGTTGAAGTTTCTTTAAGTGCGTGAGCATTGATGAACTCATAGGACTGCTGCTTCACCATTTATCAAAGAATTCCCAACACAAGAAGAAGAGGAGGAGATTGGATTTATACCCCACCCTTCACTACCCGGAGTCTCAGAGTGGCTGACAATCTCCTTTCCCTTCCCTTCCACACAACAGGCACCCTATGAGGTAGGTGGGGCTGAGAGAGCTCTTGGAGAACTGCTCTGGAGAGAACAGCTCTGAGAAAACTGTGACTGACCCAAGGTCATGCCAGCAGCTGCAGGTGGAAGAGTGGGGAATCAAACCCAGTTCTCCCAGATTAGAGTCCACACTCCTAACCATTACACCCAATTTGAGGTTAATGGAGCATGAAAGAGTTAGGCTCTGCTGCCACACCCAATAGGAAATAGGAGATTTCCCAGAAGTTCCCGTGACATTGCAGAGACCTCTAGAGCAGGGGTGTCAAACATATGGCCCATGGGCTGGCCCTGGCCCATCTACAACTTTTATCAGGCCCACGAGCAACTGGTGCGAGGGAAAGAAGGTAGGAGGTTGCTCGGGGGGTGAGTGGGTACATGCTACAGTTGCCTTATTCCAGATAATGGCAGGCAATCTCCCACCAATATGTCTCTTTACTTGATAATAAAAAGATGCTCTATAGAGACTACATTGTCAACTTAAAAATGAGTGCACGTGGCTGGCCTCCACTGTTGGTGTACTAGAGGAGGTAGGTAGGTTGTCTGGTTGGTTTAGGGTTGCCAAGTCTATTTACCTTGGCGGCGGGGGAGCCTCGCCGGGCTCCAGGAGCTCTCTGCCGATGCAGAGGAAGTTACGTGCTATGTCGCTCACGTTGAGGGCGTGGCCCTTATCATCGGAGGGAAAACCATAGAGTTTTCCCTCCGACGATCGGGGCCAAACCCCCAACGTGAGCAATGTGGTTGCATCACCTCTGGTGACACAGCCATGCAGTTCCCCCTGGGGCCCAATTCCGCGGGGGAGGAAATCGGGCCTCCAAAGCGGGGGTTTACCCGCCCCCTGCCCCCACTTGGCAGCCCTAGGTTGGTTCCTCCTCACCAGATTCAACCCTGCAGAGTCCGCCCAGTGCCACCTCTTGTGGGCACACCTCCCTCCCAGTTCCTTCTCACCAACAAGCCAGCAACTCCCATGTGTCCGGGTGCACTTCCTCTTTGGTGCTCCTGGAACCCACAGCCACCAACAAGCACCTCTTCTGCGGGTGCCTGTCTCCCCCTCCCTTTTTCTCTCTGCTAAGCCTGGACAAGAGCCAGGCATTGCCTGGCTGGGGGAAGCCTGGCTGGGGGAAGCTGCTCTTCTGCACTGAGCTGGACTCCTTGCACACACCTCTGCTGACAATCGCCTCTTCACAAGTGCCTCTCTCCCTCTCACTTTCTTCTTCCAGGCATGGGGAAGATGAATTCCAGGCACAGCTTGTGGCTGGCCAGGGCCAGGCTGCTCTTTGGTGCTGGCCAAGTGGTGTTGGGATTTCCCCTGGGGTCCACTGCTCTTACCTCCTTCAACCCCCCCCCCCTTCAGCCCTGGTCTGGATGAGCCTGCCTCATTGCCCAGGAGAGGAAGCAAAGCCCCTGAGGCAGTACAGACTGTCTTTCCCTGGCACCTGCATTCTCCCGTGCAATTGTTTAAAAAAGCAAAAAAGTGTGCACCCCCAGCATGTATCTAACACCTAGCACAGCACATACTGTACCAGGGCTTTGAATAACATACCAGACAGCATCTTTCTTTTCTTTTCTTTTTTTAGTAACATCTAGCCTTAAGAATTCTGGAGGACTCAGAATCTTGCCCTGTTATTATGTGACATTTGGTTGGTCCTAATAATAGATATTCCATATGCTAAGGCTGTTCTGTGCCTTCGTGTGGCTGTAATCCAACTTCACCAGAAAAGGGGGGTGGGTGGAATAAATCCTCTGCATTTTTCTAGATGGAAGGGTAATAAATAGGAGGGGGGTTATGACTGCAGCACTGTTGGGTGCCTTGCCCCCTCCCCTTCTTTCTCTGATGGGCAGAATCCAGGGAGTGCAAAGTGCCTTTCCCTTGCACCTGCCAGTAGTGTACCCCCCTGAACAAATGTTCAAAAAGGCTCCAGATTCTGATGCTATACTTCAGAGCAAAAGGTGTCAGTCATCAAAGAATCTCTCCCTTATTATAATTGAATAGCAATGTTCTATATTGCAACGTTCTAAATTTGGCCCCTTTAGTGTTAGGCCGGTGGGACTGCCACTTACCATATCTGCCGACCAATAAAAAGCCGAAGCCCGGTCCCGCCCACACCACCCCGCCCAGCGTTTCAAGGTCTTTTGCATATGGAAGCTGATTGGACTTCACTCCATTCCACACCTTATACCCCCCCCCCCCCGCAAGGCAGTTGGAATGTCAGTTGCATATGGAACCTTCAAGGGCTTTTGCATATGGAAGCTGATTGGACTTCACTCCATTCCACACCTTATACCCCCCCCCCCCCGCAAGGCAGTTGGAATGTCTGGTGGTGTGTAGGTCCCAGGAACATGTTTTAAAAGCTGCCTGGGGGATTCTGGACCATTCACACACTTTCAACCTTAACATACCTCATAGGGGGAGAGTAGAATGATGACAGCTGCTTTGGTTCCCACTGCAGGGAAAGACTGCCCTTTCTCTAGGCAGAGGCTGGGGGGGGCATAGGGTTGCCAACTCCAGGTTGGAAAATTCCAGGATATTTTAGGGATGAAGCCTGCTGAGGGTGGGGTCTGAGGAGGAGGAGGAGGGGGACCTCAGACAGATACAATGCCATACTCCCCACCCTCCAAACCATGTGGGGAGGGCAGGTGACAGCTGGAGAGCTCTTAAAGCTCTGGTGGTAATTCAAAGTGCTGCAATTTATCGACAGAGTAGTGTTTTGGAAAATCTTTAGGAATTGTTTGGTGCATTTACGATGGGGCACCCACCCAGAGCCTCTGGCATTTTCTCACTCTGCTGGCATCAAAACCAATTTAAGGCAAAATAAGAGGCTACTGAGAGGGGAGGAAATAAAGTTGCCAGCTTTAGGTATGGAAATTCCTGGAGATTTGAGGAGTGGAGGCCGGAGAGGGGGACCTCAGACAGGTTACAGTGCCATAGACTCCACCCTCCAACCCAGCTATTTGCTCCTGGGGAACTATTGTTGCCAATCTTGGCCCAGCACCCATCACACCATTCTCTTCAACCCCCTGCTGTGCAGCAGACTTTCCCCTAGGGTTGCCAATCTCCAGGTGGGACCTGGAGATCTCCCACTGCTACAATTGATCTCCAGATGACAGAGATCAGTTCCCCTGAAGAAAATGGATGCTTTGGAGGGTAGACCCTATGACATTATACCTGCTGAGTCCTTCCGCCCACCCCAATGCTGCCCTCTACAGAATCCACCCCCCAAAACTCCAGGTATTTCCCTCCTTAGAGCTGGCAACCCTACTTTCCCCTCAGTGCCTGATGGTAGGCAACTTAGTTTGGTCCAGTCACCTACTTTGGCCTTTGGGAGAAAACATATTGGGGCCAATCCTGATAGGGTTGCCAACTCCAGATGGGAAATTCCTGGAGATTTGAGGGATGGAGCCTGAAGAGGGTGAGGTTTGAGGAGGGGTGGGACCTCAGACAGGTACAATGCCATAGACTCCACCCTCCAAACCACTCAGTCCCTCATGGGGAACCATTGTTGCCAATCTCCAGGTGAGGGCTAGAGACCACTCAAAATTATAATTGCTCTGCAGAAGGGAGGGCGGAAGTCAGCTGAAGTCAAAGGGGCAGATAATGGTAGGTTGATGGCTAGCTGGGAAGGAGATGGGGTTGCCAACTCCAGGCTGGCAAATTCCTGGGGATTTGAGGGGTGGAGCCTGGAGAGGGTGGGGTTTGCAGAGGGGTGGGACCTCAGACAGGTAGAATGCCATAGACTCCACCCTCCAAACCAGTCATTTCGTCCTGGGTAACAATTGTTGCCAATCTCCAGGTGAGGGCTACAGATCACTCAAAATTACAACTGCTGTTCAGGGAGCAGAGATCAGTTCCTCTGGAGAAAACAGTGGACTCTGTCATTATACCCTGCTGAGGTCACCACAGCAAACTGACACTTTTTGCCCAAAGCCAGAGCACTCCCCCAAAGCCTCTTTCTAGATCTCATTGTATTTATTTCCACAACGGGCTTTACTGCTAGTGTTAAATAAAGGAAATACTTTAAGAGTTTCAGGGTTTTAAGCATATTTATATGTTGAGTAAAAATATCATTAATTGGGTTTGCCTGTGTCCTTTATAAAGTTTATCTCTCTGGTATTTGGCATTACATTTTGTAGTACACATGGCCTGGCCTGACAAAGTGACATTAATGTCAGATCCAGCCCACATAAGAAATGACTTTGACACCCCTACTTTAGAGTGATGATTCCTTCTTGGGAGGAGGAATTGGTCTAAGTATCTCTGGTTGGCAGTGGGCCATGGGCCTCACAAGATGCCCAGTCATGCCAACCTTTGATGCTAGCTCTGCATATTTCCATTGTACAACTGGCACAGTCCTGATACTGTCATTCCATTATGCCTATGCTTACCTGAAACTCTGAATGTTTAGCAGAGCACCAGTGGAGTTTTGGACCAAGGTAAGACTTTACAAAATGTTTCCAAAAAGAAGAGGGGGGGGGATCACAAATAATTTATTGTGCCATCTTAAGAACACTTTTGTGGGAGTAGTCCCCACTACATAGACTTGTGTTGGATTCTCAGTAGACCTGTTTAGGATTGCTTTCGTAATTGCCATGTGGGGAGGGCAGGATATAAGTCGAATGAAGTAAGTAAATAAATAAATAATCAGTAGTAGAACTTTCACTGATTCCAATTGCTTGCAGACTTGAGGATACCATTGCATAAGAATTAATGCCTAAGATTGTTACAAGTTCCACAATATTTATTATATGCCAGATCTGCTGAAACAATTTCATGGAACTATGAAACTAACCTGAAGTAAAATAAGCATTTACAGAGACGCTGAGGACAACACTTCCAAGTTTTAATAAGCTTGAGAGTGTACCATTTCTGAATCTACCATTTCTGAAGAGTCTCAACAACCTGTCATACTGGCTCAAATTCAAGTATAGTATCACCAATATCTTCAAGGTAGCTCTTTTAAATAGAATCAGAAAGATGGAAAACAAATGATTTTACAACTCTCTGGAACATGGGGGGGGGGGATGACAAAGTGGGT